TAGGTATTTATGTTTTCCACCTCATGGTATACTGAGCCTATAAAAGTGAGTGTAAATATGGGTAAAAATGACGATAAAAAAGAAGCAGAAAAAACTAAATTATAAAGAATATTGAATGAACTTATTTAAAGTTGTATTTATTACACAAAATACTACTAAGACTGATACCTAAGCTACAATTAAAGTGCCAAATATTTCAAAACAAGTATACTGTACTAATGATACCAGTTATGGTTTAGATTAAATAAAGTGCATTTGTTTTAATTTCATTAAAAAATATACAATTATTATCGATTTTATACATTGTAGAATACTTGTAGAAGTGACAGTTGGTTTCAGTAGGCTCACGCTCTATTACAGACTTAAGATATCGCAACGTGACAATTGCTATATCGAGTGTAAAATTATTGTAATAGTGAACTATTCAATTTATATCAAAATACATTTTCTACAATAATATACTGTATTTATATCATGATGGAATGTATAATAATAATAATAATAATAATAATAATAATAGTACCTGTAATAATAATAATAATAATAATAATAATATTAATAATAGTAATAATAATAATAATAATAATAATAATAGTAATAATACAGTAAAACTTGCCTAAGTCGACTTTGCCTTACTCGAATAAAATCGATCTATTTTACAGGTCAAATTGTTGTGTTTTCCATTAATTAACGACAGGTAAGTCGAATTTCTATAATAAAAATAATAATAATAATAATAATAATAATAATGATAATGATAATAATAATAAAGCAAATAAATTAAGTGCTTACCACAACCTTTCATCAAGATAATACGAAACAAAACATATATTAAAAAGTTTTTTACTACATCTTTGATTCTGCTGTAGGCCTATGCTGTGGTAGAGGTTCCTATACCAAATCAAGTGAAACAAAAGCTAACACAGCCAATGTAATATTTTCTAAAATTAACATACTAGAAGCCAAATGGTACAGACAGTATATACAATCAGGATGATAAAACCATACATAAATCAGTTTCAGTTTTAGTTTCTTTATTTACATCAAAATCGCAGGAAAGGCTGAATTACATGATATTTACAATTACAAAAACATCAATCAAGCAAAAGCCCAAGATATAAAAAATGGATATAAAAGTAACATTAAAATACACTAAAATTTAAAAACATTAGAAATTCACACAAGATAAAATTGTTTAATATTGAATATTTCTGCTTCAAATACTGTAATCCATTATGATCAGAAGTAAGGAAACAAAAATGCTGAATATTATTATTATTATTATTATTATTATTAATTATTGTAATAGTGAACTATTCAATTTATATAAAAATACATTTTCTACAATAATATACTGTATTTATATCATGATATAATAATAATAATAATAATAATAATAATAATAAAATAAATAAATAAAATTGTTTAATACCGGTATTGAATATTTCTGCTTCAAATACTGTAATCCATTATGATCAGAAGCAAGGAAACAAAAATGCTGAATATTACTATCCACTTTTATTTTTTACTCTGAAAAATAAAACAAATAAAATGATTATTAGTAGGTCTATCACTAAAATATTGCATGTAAATTAAATAAAGAAAAAACATTTTACATTACATGGAATGAAGAAAATTTATGTAGCCATTGCAGGCTTACCCTTTAGAGGCCTAGGCTTTTCCAATATTTCTAAGGCCTACAAATGTGTGCCTACAATATTCTATTGTAACACTTGCAAGAGTAATAGAGTGAGACACTAATATTGACGTGGCTCCTTCGGATAAAGAGAAAACAATTCGTCGGAGATAAAAAAAAAATTGTAATTTTTCCAAAGGTGAGACAAATTCGGTTGAATAAGGCTTTTAATACCGCTAAATTGTTGGGAGTTTCCAAGTGATTTACCCCTTGCTTCCATTTTAGAGGTTCTGGCCTTCCCTGGTCCCGTCCACTAATGCTATCGTCACAATTAATTCCCAGGCACCACTACCTATTGACACGGGTGTATGTGGGAGGTTTTGTGTGCGTGTCTGTATCAACATATCAACAGTATTCACTGTACGTACAAAGCAAAGGGGACCATATTCTTTTGTGTAGGGTGGTAGGGCTTATATTCTTAAAAACAAGCATCACATGAGAGGACAGACAAGGGATGATAGCTGGAAGAGATAAAGCTTTCTTGAGTTGAAAATTACAGTAGATAAAAAGTTATGTGTGATAACACTAGAACCTTAATCGAGGTGTAGGGTAATGTTTCCGGCGCCTACAATATTTCTTCGCAGACGTACAGATCGCAAAATCAAACATAAAAAAAATCATCCGCATTTATTTTTTGTGCGGAAAAAAAATCTAATTTCAGTCTTATTTTACACTTTGTTCATGTTTAAGAATGTCTAAATTCAGTTAAACCAGCAATTTCCTATTACTGTATATTTATAAATTTTATAACATAATAAATATCAGATTTTTCTTAGCTGAAATTTTGCCGGGAATGGCGCTTTAACCTTGTTTTACGAAAGTAATTTTCAATTACAATTTTCAATCGCGGTGCGCGAAATCTTCGCGGTGACGAAAAATTATATATTTTTTGCACACGAGCCTAAAAAAGATCAAGCCAAGTGTCCAATAATTGAAAAATTAGTTGACTGTGGGGGATAGGCAAATAACATTGGGAGTTACAGTGATGACGTCACGATTGACTTATAATTAAAGTTAAGAAATAGTTGGCATACACCATATTTACTATTCGTCTGCCTGAAAATGTTACTGAATATATTTATCTTCAAGTACTTACCGTGGTTGCTATTATCAGATTAATCTGCATCCTCAGAGCTGCTGCTGCTGCTCATTGTCGATTGCTCCCCTGCATGCAAAACACATCATTCAAAAACATAAATACATTCGAATACCAATTACAGTGATAATGGAATTACTTGTTAAAGCTGATGTACATATTCTACAGAATAATTGTGATTATAAACTAATTCCTCCATGATTGATAATACGTACCTTTTTTCCTTTTCGAAGATGCATCATCCCTTTTATCCAATCCACCTAAGAAAAAAAAATGGCTTTAAAATTAAGCGAATCTCAATCGTTCCTTTTATGTATTTTATTTTGGGTAATTGTTATGATGATAGTATGAATGATAATAATGATGACGATGACGATGATAATAATCGATATGCCGTGGGTGGGGGGGGGGGGGGGGGTGGTTTTGTGGGGGGCGTTGGTATTACAGGGGCTTAAATGGCTTTTAATTAACGTCAGCTTCGTGTATAATGACAAATTATGCTTTAGAATTATCTATGCTATTTTCATTTTTTAAATGTTTATTTAAGATTTTTTAAAAATATAAACGGTACATTCTCGACTATCTTAAAAATTTGGACCTTGCGCGGTTTAAGGGGGTGGGGTGGGTGCGTACGTACCCATCACACTTCCTACGGGCCTGTGATGATGACGACTATGATGATAATAATATTGATAATATCGTGAATACCTTCATCTTTCCAGAAGATGCAGCCAACATATCTGAATGTATCAGCAGTGTATTAGAATTCAACTAATTCAGTGTGGAGATGAGCCCGGTAGGTAACCTTTATAAACATACCGTATTTGTTCAAATAAACGCCCCGCTTTTAACAAATTAGTGCCCCATCGAAAACGCCCCTCTAGAGCCTCATTTGGAGTAAACATCTGCCTTGAAAATAAACGCCCCCTCAATGACTGTAAACAAATCTATTGGAAGTAACACCATCCTCAACACATACTAGTAATTGTGGAATTACATTTTTCTAACCTGGTTGGGATCAATAATTATTTTGTTGTTATGAAGTGTTTTGTTTGAGGACACAATTGAAATAAGTTTTAATTATTTGTGTGATCCATATGTGTTTGATCCAATGACCGGGGTAATAATGTGAAGCGCTTAGAGGCTTTGTCAAGGCATTAAGCGCTATATAAGAACGACATATTATTATTATTATCTTCGGAATTTTGTTTTAACGTGTTTGTATTGTATTGCCGTTTATTTATCAAACAATATAAATTTGTATTTTTCTATTACTATTGTCATTTTTTTTTCTTTTCTTAAAATAAAACCTTAGTAGGTTATTTTTAAACAGAAAAGTTTTAAATACACGAATATTCATTGCACAAAATGTCATTTTTAAATATAAATATCAAAAGCAATATAAGTAGCTCAAGGAAGAACAATCTTTTCAAATTGATGGGTGATATGCGCTATATAAGTATACAATAATAATAATAATAATAATAATAATAATAATAATAATAATAATAATAATAATATCTAGAACAGGTAAAGACTTTTCTCAATATAACTGCATTTGTTTGAAATAATTGGGACCGGTACAAATTAGTAAGGGGATACATTACTAGCAACATGGACAATAGTAACAGTAATAATACATCTTCCCGATATAAACTTGAACTAGCCGGGTCTATCGCTATGAATACTGTATTTAGCAACATACTGTTACAGAAAAATTTTAACTAACAAAAGAATGACAATCACAATAATACTAATAACTAAAAATAATGATATTAATAATATTAATTACTAGTATTTAATATTTCGAGAAAAAAAAAACCCGCCAAAGTTTCACAATCTTTCAAAAAGTTGACATCGGCTTCTGCTTTAATTGCTGTTCTGGCAAACTTTTCCAGTTGTCTGCATTCCAGCGTTGGAACTGTAGCATTTTGTTGAAAATCCTCTATAATTTTGCCAAACTTACAAACAGAAAGGAGTAAAACAAAACTTTCTGGAATGCAGAGAGCTGGAGTAGCTTACGAAAAAAACATCTAAAGCAGATGCCGATGCATTTAATAATAATAACGATAATAATCATGACGATAAGAATAATGATGATGATGATGATGATGAT